TATATATATATATACTATAAATACAATTGCTGCCCCAAGTGCCCCCTCCTTTTGAGCATCCTCTCTTCCTAAGGTAACCACAATCCTGAAATTGATGTTTACCTTTCCTATACATGTTTGTGCACTTTTATGATGTATTGTACCCATAAATATATAGTATTGTTTAATATAAACAACATACCACATATATTCTGTAACTTATTTTCAGTCAATATTAACTCTAATTCATACATTTAATGTTTTAAGCATTCCATTTAGACTATCCCTATGCTCCAATATATTTATCCATTCTCTTACTTAGCATTTAGTATCTCTGATTTTTTTATTTTTGTTTTTTTAAATAGAATTTATTATTTAGAGCAGTTTTAGATTCACAGTGAAACTGAGCAGAAAGTACAGCGTTCCCATATAACCCCTGCCTCCACACAAGGACAACCTCCCCACTATCAGTAGCACCAAAGTGGAACATTTGCTACAACTGATGAACCCACAATGAAACATCATTATCACCCAAAGTCCACAGTTCACAGCAGGGTTCACTCTAGGTGTTGTACATTCAATTTCTGGCAAATGTATAATGACATGTACCCACCATTATGGTATCAAACAATAGTTTCACTGCTCTAAAAATCCCGTGCTCCTGCTAGTCATCCCTCTCTACCCCCAACCCCTGGCAACCACTGATCTTTTTACTGTCTCCATAGTTTTGCCTTTTCCAGAATGTCATATAGACAGAATCATCTAGTATGGGGCCTTTTCAGATTAGCCTAATTCACTTAGTAATATGAATTTATGGTTCCTCTATGTCTTTTCATGGATTGATAGTTCATTCTTTTTAGGTGCTGAATAATATTCCATTGTCTGGATGTGCCACAGTTTATCCATTCACCTGCTGAAGGACATCTTGGTTGCTTCCAAATTTTGGCAATTACGAATAAAACTGCTATAAACATCTATGTGCAAGTTTTCGTGTGGACATAAGTTTTCAACCCTTCTGGGTAAATACCAAGGAATATGATTGCTGGGTCATATGGTAAGAGTATACTTGGTTTTCTAAAAACTTGCCAAACTGTTTCCCAAAGTAGCTGTACCATTTTGCATTCTTGCCAGCATGAATGAGTTTCTGTGGCTCTACGTGTTCGCCAGCCTTTGGTGGTGTTAGTGTTTTGTATTTTCGCCATTCTAATAGGTGTCTGTAGTAGTATCTCATTGTTATTTTAATTTGGATTCTCTAAAGACATCTGATGTTGAGCACCTTTTCATTATGTTTATTTGCCATCCATATGTCTTCTTTGGTAAGGTGTCTGTCTGTTTAGGTTTTTTGTCCATTTTTCAATCAGGTTATTCTCTTTCTTATTGTTGAGTAGTTTTAAGGGTTCTTCATGTATCTTGGGTAACAGTCCTTTCTGTAATACGTCTTTTGCCAATATTTTCTCCCAGTCTGTGCTTGTCTTCTCATTCTCTTGATACTTTCAATTTTTCATGATCACAGAAATGCTACAACAAACGTTCTTATGATGGTTCCCTATTTACATGCATTACTAGTTTCTCTAAGGCAGGAATCTGTAAGTGGAACTTCTGAGATGAACAGATATTTACCTTCAACTTTACCAGGCACTACAAAATTGGTTTTTCAACGGCTTTCAAACACTCACCCTAGTTAGTAACGGTCATGAGGGGTGCAGTGTATTAGCATTCCTACTGCTCCACATCCTCACCAATATTTGTGTTGTGGGTCAACTGAGTAGCCCTCCCCCGCCCCCAACACACACCACTGAAAACCTTTTAGGTTTTCTTTCCTATAGAAATGTTAAGTCTCCTCCCTAGTTCTTAGTTCCTTAGCTCCTGGCTTTGATTACTCTTATCAGTTTGTGAATCCTAGACTAAAGATTGCTCCTAGCCTGAATCATAAATGTTTCCTATCCCCCTGCTTCTTGATTGTTTTGTAAATCAGTTTCTTAGTCCTAAACAGTAGATTGTTCATAGAAATCTCCTACCCTCGCTTCAGATAACTACTTAAAAGCCTGTGACTTCCCAGCATCCCTCAAGACCTAAATAGGTTTTAACATTTCCCTAGGCCAAGTAAGCCTAAGATTCTTTCCAAACCCATTCTGGGCCTAGACAATTGACACCACCTGAGTGAAAGGCTGAATGGCCACAGGTTTCATAAGAGCTAACACATTTATTAAAATCTATTTTTCCTCATTCAGGGGCCTTGGGGATACAGATGATACTCCAACAAGATTGCTGGTCACAACCAAAGAAACCAACATGGTCTTCCAGGCAGATCTCAAGACCCCTTCCTCTCATCTGAGATCAGCTAGGGTGAGAGTTCTGTGAATCCCCCAATAGGCAGGGACAGCTCTACGCCCCTGCCCAGCAGGAAGCAGATACAGAAGAAAAGACCTCCTGTCCCTCAGCTTCCCATAGAGATTTTATGGGGATCACGTCTCTGAAGGGGAGAACTAGGTAGGCAGATAGAGGCAGACACTGGGTCTCTGCATTCCTGCACATCCCACAGGATGTGACTGCCCGGTGACCTCCCCTCTCAACCCAAAACTTCTTTTCATTGTACCTATCTACCCCTGGAACAAATGGGTGCAAAATACCCAACTAGATCAGACCAGTCACTCGCAGTTGCACAGTACCTCTTGTCAATCACAGGTGCCAATAAAGTGGTCCCACACTCTTAGGGCAACAGCCCATTCTAGAGAAGGAATAAAAACCCCAAGTCCTGGGAACTCTGCCCTCTTTTTCCTTTTTTTGGACGCCCTGCTCTTTTGACCGCTTCTTCCTTTTCGAGCTTTTTGAGCCTCGCCTTTGCGCATGGTCTGCTCCAAACTCTTTGGAATGTAACTTTCTCTTCTAATACTGGGCCCTTGAGCCATTCTCTACTGCTCAGGCCTGCTTCTACTTCTTTGAAATGTACTATCTCTTCGAATAAACTACTTTTTCAGCACTTTACTCCAGCATCTCATTCAATTCTTTGCTCGAGTTGCCAAGGATCTGGACTTTGTGCCGAGAAGGGCCCACTTTCCGACAACAGAAGAGTCTCTCTCTGTTAAGTAGGTTGTCTTTTGGCAGATTTATTCCCAGGTACCTCACTTTTTGTTGCTTTTGTGAATGGGACCTTTTTCCGTTATAATTTTAATTGATTATTACAATTTAATTTGTATGTTGCTCTTATAATCAACAACTTTGCTAAATTCTTATTATCTTATTTTATAGATTGCTCTGGGCACGTTATTCAGCTGTGTCAAATCTGCTGCTTATTTTTTAGTCCATTTATATGACTATTTCTCATTAATAAATCCAGTTGGTTCTATTTCTATATGTTCATTTTTTTCACCTAGTGTCTTATTCTTTCAGAATTCTTTCATTTCACTGATTTTCAACAAAGATTACATGGTCTTTTTCAGGTTGTTCTATGATTTCTACTTGTTGGGGTACCCTTCCTCATGTTTGTTATACCTGCATACTTTCCCTGTGGCAATACGTTTCTTCAGTCAAAATCTCTCCTCTGCCAATTAGTTCTACTCCCCTATCCCCTCTCTGCAGTCTTGTAGTAATTCATGAAGCTACACAATTCATGTCCATTAGAACCACAGTTCAATGGTTTCTAAAAAGTAAATGCACATACTAAAAATTTCCATGTGGAAGCTTATAGTTAGGAAGAAGTTAAAGCAAATTTCCTATTTAAGGAGATTGTTTCTTAGGTTGTAGTTGAAGTCCTAGAATACAAGGCAAAGCAACAACTTGCATTTCATGGCCAATGGAACTAAAAATTGTCATTTTCACACAGCTGACAGGACAACAAAAAGGAGCAACTTAATCCACTGTCCTGATACCAACTGTAAAAGGAATAATTAAAAAGTTTACTTACCATTGGCGAAACTCTCCCCGACATAGTACTGTAATTCTTTTATGTTTGTTTTCGTCTGGTTTATAATGGGATCGAAATAATCTTCAGTTGCTGTAATGTTCAAAAACTGACTTTGTCGAGGGCTGCATGTCAGCTCACAAAACAGGTTCATTAGGTTATAAAAACAGGAAGGGCATCTAAAGAAAAAGTAAACTAGATTTTGTATGATGTCACAAACAGGGCCAGCAAAAAGATGATATAAAATAGACAAAGAATATTTAAAATTTAGTGTAAAGTGACAAATGAATTGCCATGAGGACATATTAAACCCAGCAATTCTAAACCTAAAACGTCATGTTAAAATAAAGATACCTCTTTAAACGCTACCCTAATTACTACATTTATGCTGTTCAGATGCAATTTCAAAAAAAAGAAAAATGCTCCTCTGAATTCTGCACTTTATCATTTGAGACATGTTTTCTTTGTCTTGAAGCTAACAGGACTTAGAAGTATCATGGGAACAATTCTGAGTAAGAAGAAAAAAAGGGAGAAAATGAGATTTATACAACAGAATATTCATCTTATAACCTACTGAAGGGCTTTTTCCAAGCCCAGATAACCCCTTGGCCCTCTCTAAATACAAGAGGATTTCCTGTGACTTGGAAAGATGAAAAGAACAGAAGGGTGGTCTCTGGCAGCATGTTTCAGTAGCACACAGGTTTTCAAGAGAAACCACAAGCTGTCTTGCTATCCTCTGGTTCAAAGTCTATGCTCCTAACGTTGACCCAGTTATGTAGCAAAACATTCTCTCTCAGCTTGGGTTCACTGTTATCTGCAAAAGCTATTGCTTCATTAGACTGGCATTATTGCAACACAACCAGTCAAGACTGCTCTCTACTCTGACCCCATCCAGGTGACCACACAAGACAGAGAACAAGGATGGTGTGGTCCCAGCCTCCAAAGCCTCTGGTGTAGTGAAGGAGCAGACACCCATACTGACTCTCTTTCAGGAGTCTTGAGCTTTACTATGACAGAAACAGGAACAATTATACCATTTGTAACAAAAACCACTCTTGGGGTGCAGAGTTTTCTATCACTTTCCATGAGTTACGAACGTCTTTCCATGTTACTACATTTAATCTCCACAAACACCAACTTTGACAGCTGCATAATATTCCACATATTAGCTTCTCATTATTTGCTATTATAGCTAAAGCTTTGGTATCTCTGACAACATGAGGAAAACCTGGTTATCTTTTGATGTTTGTATCCACAATGCTGCTCCTAGAGTAGGTGCTAATGAAATGTATTTTGACTGAATGGTGGCTCCAACTTGGCTCCATCAACATCCACTAGCCTTCCACAGGATATGCTGGCCCAGTTAGATTCTCCACTTTTTGACCTATTATTATACTGTATGTTGTCCTGGAAGAAAAATTTAGGGTTGGCTTTCCATTCTGTATTGTCAATTTCAACTTCTGGAAAGAAGCAGGGTTTCCTCAGTGGATGCCAGCTTGTGCTCTGTCACCTGCAGTGATACGGGCAGTAATACCTGCACAGAGAAGCATTTCCCTCTCATCATATGTCCTTCCCATCCACCTTCATCAGGGTGCTTAAGTGTGAAAAATTTAGGAAGATATCACAATGTGCTGTTCTACAGACCACCACTAGCTTGTTTCTTTGTTTTTTTGGTTTTTTCTTTTTTTTTTTTGGTTTTTATTGCACATTTGAAAACTGCCGTGTAAGCGTAGAGAACAACATCTATTATGCAACCCCTTTCACTGTCCTTGTCAGAGAACAGACTGAATAGCAGGTTAATTTGATAAAACAAGCCAACTACGCCAGAACAATCTTGCTAATAGTTACCAAAGGCCAGCTCTACCAAGGACTGGGACTCTAGCAAGTCATGTCACCATAGGAAGAGAGATCCATGTGCAAACCAGGGGAGGTGAGGCGAGAGAGGTGATGCAGACAACTGTACAAATGAGGGTCTTGGGTCAGAGACCTGAGCGGAACCACCAGGACCCTCTCCTCCCCACAGCACACAGGCTCACATCTGAAAGGACCCAGTGCATAGTGCAGACAGCCTTTGGGGTGAAGAAATCTCAGAGGAAAACCAAGTATCGATTCTGAATGTAAATAAGGCGAGAACTGAGTCTGATAGTTATGACTTTATCAGAAATTATTCATTATTTCTGAGAAGTTATGAGATTGCTTTCTTAGGAAATCAGGATGTCACTGGTTAAGAAGTACAGTAAATCTTCACTTAATGTCATTAGTAGGTTCTGCAACTTTAAGTGAAGGAAACATAATGAAACCCATTTTACCAAAGGCTAATTGGTATAAACAAGAGCTAAGTTCCAATGGCATCTCATCAACATTGCAATGAAATGATGTTGAATGAGATGACATTCTTTGAGGACCTGCTACGCCTACAATCCATTTTTTGATTGCCTGGTGATTAACCGACCTGGAGAGAAACTGTAGTGGCAGCTGCAGGTTGTCTTTCAGTGTCTGAAGCTGCTGAACATCACAACAAAGACTGACATTGCCAAAGAAGAATCCTGGACAGAGCTCCTTTAGGGTGAAAAAGCATGGGTATCAGACTAGCATAGTTAAATAAGGGCAAACATTCCACAATCAAATAAGAAAACTAACTCACATAACCCTTTTTAGGCACACCAGGGGAAGACACATTTGCAAAGTTCTTTTAAAAGGCTATCAATTTACTATTTATAAACTAGGAATTGACAAAAGTAGAGATAGTAGAGACATTTCAAAATTTTTTCTGATTTGGAAGCTCACTCTCCTTCCTTGACAATCATTTTACCTCTTTTTGGTTCTTTTTTGTTTCAGTTTAATCAGAATGCTATTTGCTGTATATTTCCATTAGTCACTCCAGAGAAAGTCTACACCTTTAAATAATTCTGACGAAAGGAGTAAGGAAGTCTAGGACACCTACTACCACGTCAACTTGATTTTAGATTACTTAAGCCTCTAAAACCAGTCGTTTCATCTTGGGTTTCCCAGTTCTTTTCTAATAGCCCTGTGTATCAGGGATGGTTAAAGAGACAACAGAAAATAGAATCCTGGTAGCAGCCCAAGTTCACAGGCTCTCAGTGGGAAACAGAGGAATCCCTAAAATGAACAGAGGACAAAGGAGTCATAGCCACTTGGCAGCCTCATCCATTCAAGGCCTGAATTCTAGGAACCAAAAAAAGCTAACTTCTGACATATTTTAAAGAAGCAGCAAAGAGCAACATCTGAGGTACCAAGTTCAGTCCCTAAATAGCAACCTGCTAAAGGGAAACGTTATGAGAAAGGCATAAAGTCAGCCCCAGAAAAATTAAGCCTCCGGAGTTATGTTATCTTCTCTGCATCATGTGCTACAGAGACATTTGGGATAAGATTTAAGCCTTTTGGTGTTTCACCTCCACCTCCACCTCACAATAATATTTAAGATATAATTACAGAGGATTTCTAGTTAGCTTTTTATATTCCCAGTGTCCAAGACAATGAACTTACCTGCACTAAGTCATACCCGTTCTTTGGCAATGGTTTTGGTGATCCAGAATATTTGCAATTGTACCTCTTATCTCCAGACGCAATTCCGCACTCTCCATACCAAACGCAGGACTGTGAAAACACCTACACAGAAGGTAAACACAAAACTCAGTCATGGCTTCAAGGGTAAAACAAATTTGAACAGCAAAAAGCACCCACTCAAAGCACCATTCAGAACCTTCCAATGTTACCTGCAAAATGAGATAACAGCAAGAGGCACTGGTTAGTTTAACATTTTGAAAAATATTAATTAAAGTAGACCAAATGCTCCAAATGGACTTGTCAAGTAAGTCAGTGAAGTGGGTAATAGAAACTACTTATTTACATGATTTCAATTTCCTGCTAGTTTATTCGTTCATAAGAGGAAGCTATAGCTCCATAGAATCTGTGTTGAGGAAAGGAAGCAAGATATTATACAGTATGTGAGTTTGCGATTACTCAGGAACTATTTTCGCACATCTGATAAGGAAGTGTATGAGCTCTACATAGTGAAAGAACATTTCCACATGTATTTAGGTTAATTAGCAGCAGCACATCATGATTAACATGAGGAATAAAACCACAAACATCCATAAACCCTAAGAAGCAGCAGCAAGAAGGAACACCTGGCCCTCAAGATAAGTAGAAAGCAAGGAATGTGCTAATTTTAAGGAAAATCACCTCACTGATTTTAAAAGAAAAACATAAAACCTCTTATGTCAAGATTTCTCAAGAGCCACTCATTGCCCACGTGAGAATCACAAGGCTGTCAGAAACTTCAGAAGGGGAGGAGAGTGCAGTGTGAATCATCGTGTTGGCATAGCCATGGAGCTGTGCCAAGCTGGACAGGGTCACTGGCTTGCACAGGCTTGCAATCATCTGTCCCCTGGGGAAAGAGGATAATGAGAAGCCACCGTGGCTCCTAAGACACCTGGTGGAAAGCCATTTTTAAAAAATTGACTATATGCAACAGAGTGAATTCTTTCCAGTGGCAGTGGCACATGACCCACACGTACGCAAGGAGCTAGGTCAGTCTGTCCGTGCTGGTCCCCAGCAATGAGATACAAATTCCACAACAGGCCCTGAAGCCCTAAAAACATGACAGAAAAAACAGGCAGGAGGTTGGGGTGTATATGTGGCAGGGATCTAAAGGGTCAATATGATTTGTCTCTGCATTCATTCTTCAGATATTTTAATACAGAAATTACAACTCACCCCTCTCTTGAGTCACTAAAAATCATATGTTTAGGTCACAAGGGAGGGGAACTCCCTTATACAAATGAGGAACTGGCAAGTTTTCAACAATGCCACATACGAAAAGAAGTTGCAAAATTCCACCACCACTTTTATGTAAAAAGAATCACAATTATTTCCATAAACACTAGCAATTCTAGGGAAAGTATTGTTTTTCCCAAAACTCTGGGTTTCCAACTAAAAGGTCATTATTCATTTACTGAAGTTTGAAAAGGCAAAAAAGCAATAACTGCTGATACTGATGTGTCACTTAAATACAAAGAACCCTTCCCTAGACCTCACAGAATTCTCAAAGACCAGCAGGGCAAGCAGGGCTGGGGGGGCCTTGGGGCGAGGGAAGGCACTCTGGCATGTCGCCTGCAGGAAGGGCAGCAATCCAGTCAACAAAACAACCAGGACTCTGGCATGACCAACAGGATGGGTGTCTGGAGTCTAAGTTCTCCTTTCTCATCACTCAGTACTATAAAAGAAAAGAGATGACCCAGTGCTGTTTGGTTCCTATTCACAAAGATCATCCTTTATAATCTACATCCGTTGTTTCAAAGCAAAGTTGGTAGAAGAGAGGTTGAGGGGAGAAGGGGAAGCATGGAGGTCAGCTTCTCAATGAATGTGCTTGTTGAGGCCGATCGCAGCTGGAGCAGATGCCTGAACCTTGCTGAGCAGTTTTCCTGCCTGTGAACCGTAGCTCATAACCTCCGCTTATCTCACAGATCCAATGAGGGAATATACATGGAAGTATTTGGTAAACTATAAAGCACACTACCATCAAATGTAAGGAATTATTATTAACGTCTTCGAACTATTTGAGACCTCAGCAAAGACCTCCAAAGACCTCAAGAAAATAAAATACCTGAGGTTTCTTTGGGCCCAGGAAAACTGTGCTGGACTCAATGCTCTCAGGTTTGCTTCCCAAACTCATCCTGCCTCGAGTAGCAGCCCTAAGCCCGTGGGGCTCAAAGTACTTAAAAGGCACTCACTGTGAGCTAGGCACAGTTTGAATTGCTCTTCGTATATTAACCCAATGACTCCTCACAACGAGCTGATGAGGGGGGTGCTATTATTGTACTCACTTCACAAATGAGGAAATCAGGCACAGAGAGGCTAAACAACTCGTCCAACAGTGGCAGAGCCAGATTTCAAACCAGAACATTCTAGTTCTAGGAAACAGAGTCTCAATAAAATAGAATCTACTGCCTAATTCAGGCCCTCACTCTAGCATTACACCCCGCTCCCCACCTTGTACAAGGTACACGCACGTGTGCATCCCCTCGCGCAGCTGCATCGAGCAGGAGGAGGCCTTGCTCCCACCTCGGAGCTCTCTTTCCCTTCATGTCCCTTCTTACCTCCAGCTGAAAAATGAGAGCGTCTCCATCACCCCCAGGCCTGGCTGGTGCAGCGTTCCTGAGCCTCCTCCAGGGACCTTCTCTTCCATATTTTCAACCTTGTCTCTTAGTTGATCCCTTCACCTGCTACTGCCTATAAACCCTGCTCCAAATCCATTCTCCGTCTAAAAACCATCCCCAACTCCTCTCCAGCTGTACTTCCAGGTGCCCGACAACCCCAGGGGGTCAAAAGGAAACTAATTTTTCCTCCAAAGCCGCCTCCACTGCCAATCCCTCTTCACCAGGGTTTAAAGCCTAGGCACCTTTCCGACCAACCTCCAACCTCTAGGGGAGGCTCCTGGTGCAGTCTCCTGAGCCCCTGCCTCCCCACAACCCTTCCCTGCTGTGCCCACAGCCATCCTCTGTCCATCTCAGCACCTCTCACCCAGACCTCTACAATGTCTCCTAGATACAGCTGCCACTTGGCTCTTCCTGAGCCACAGCTGCAAGGTTATCTGGTGCTCAGAAACCCACACTCCACCCCTCCCGCTGCCTGTGAGAGCTCCTCACCTGGCTCTGTTGCACACTCTGCTCTCCCACCCTTCCTTTCTGTCCCACACTAAGTGGGACTTGCCTGCCTCTGCGCAGTTCACGCCAGTCCGGCCTCCTGCCCCTACACCCCTTGCTACCAGTCAAGGCCACTCTTCAACTTTCACCTCCCCCATGTGCCTGATCCACCCATGCACAATCCAGCATCCAGACAATGGCTAAGTGTGCCCGTTAGCTCCCTTAATCCTCACATCTGTGAGGCTGGTACTAAAATAACGCCATTTTAGAGGAGGAGACTGAGGGTTTCACAGGTAGAGTGACTTACCTGAGACCACATCTAAGAAGTGGTAGAGCCAGACCCTACCTGAGGTCTGGCTGGTTCAGAAGCCAGAGCTCTTACTCCTCACACTGCATTAAGGGTCACTCCTTAGTGGACCACTGGCTGGCATGCTCATCTCTGTCTTCCCCAATAACCCAGCTGGCATCTGAGCAACTGGATTTCCAGTCTCCAAATCACCACAGAACAGCAGGAGGTCAGGACTATCAATGAAGAGGACAGATGCACCTTAAAATCCCTGAACAGTCAGGGCAGAATATGCTGACACGACCAAGGGTAGGTACTCTGTACAATCAAGGGCTCACATACAGGCCACTCACCTCCTTTCTAAGCAAAGCACTTGATAACAGAAGTAAAGTGGCTGAAAGTTACCTTTACTATGATTCAAGAACACCTGGTGCTGATTTCATATCAATAATATGTACTTGGGGAAGAAAGCCCAACACTGACATAAAACCCATCAATGCTGGAGGTCTGCCTGAGCCCAAAGTGCACCTGATCAGACGGGAACTCAGTTCTGGGGGTGGATAGTGGTGATGGTTGTACAAAAATGTGATGTACTTAATGTCACTGAACTGTACACTTAAAAATGGTCCATTTTACGTTATGTGTATTGTACCACAAAGTAACACATGAGCTCAGATGTCCTTCACCATGGAAGAGAAAAGCCCAGTGGCATGGACTGGTGAGAGCGGTTCTTAGTTATCACTCTGAGATTAACCAGAAGAGTGACTGTCAGTTCACACAGGATCAAAGACTATGGGTCTGACTGTCACTTGACATACCTAGAATCTCTAATAACAGGTCTTGTTAAAGCTCCACTTAAGTAATGGGAGTCCAAGTCCAAAGAATAACAATTCTTCCCAGTTCATCTTGTGGTCACCGACCAGTCTCATAGAGCTATTCATAATCACAAGAGGTATCTTATTTAAGCATTTAAATGTCTTGCCAATTCCTAAAATGATAAAGTGATTGGTTTTATTTTAATTACAGAATCAATACCTATTCATCACAAATACAGGCGGCACACCTCGTGTTATTGCCCTTCACAGGTGTTGTGTTTTTTACAAATTGAAGGCAAGACCCTCCACCAGCAAAAGATTATGACTCACTTTACTGCCATACTCGCTTTACTGCAGTGGTGTGGCGCCCCTCCTGCAGCATGTCCTAGGTATGCCTGGATACAAACAGCACTGGTGTCTATGAAATAATACTGAAACCACTTCCCCAACCCCTCCCCCATTTCTCAGATATAACCAGCACTAATCTATGATCTAGGGCTTCTAGGCTTTTAATGCCTCCCCACAGGCAAACCTGCAGAGATGGGTACGCACACACACATACAAGCGCAGTAGCTTTTAAATAGCTTTTTCACAAATAAACCTCGGCTACCCTCCACAGTTGGCTTTTGGCTCTACCTGACCTGCCCTTAATGGCACCTCTCCGGGTCTCCAAGGCCAGACTCCAGTGCTTGTCTCCAGCCCCAGTGTGTTCGCCACAGGTTTCAGTCCTACCCATCTTGGAAAGTCCTCTCTCTTACAAGCCTCACCCAAGACTCTCTGCCTAAACTAAATTTAACTGACTCCTTTCAGCTCAGGGGTCGGCAAACTGTGGCTCGCGAGCTACATGCAGCTCTTTGGGTACGTTCCGTCGCAACAGTTTGCCGACCCCTGGAAGAGCCAATCCTGTCCCTCAAAACAACTTAAAAATTATTCGAGAGCCATAAATATATGTTTACATAATCACCATTATGTGAATAATACCCTTTAAAAATTTTATAAATGAAACTATGATAGTTTTAATTTTCAATTTTACTTCAGAGCCACATGTATGTACCCCAGGAGCCGCATGTGGCTCGCGAACTGCAGTTTGCTGACCCCTGGCGGCTCTTCCATCTCAAGTTTGTCAACCCCTGTTTCACCTGGTTCCAGTCCAGCTGCTCCCCGGACCAAGTGAGTTATCCTGGGGCAGAGGCAGGTCAGCCCCAGGCAGCACGTGGCCAGGGTTCGGGGCATCTATCCTCACCACTTACATCAGCAGGTGTTCTGTGCCCAGAGCTCTCGAGTGTCATCTTTGTCCTAGGGGTAAAGAAACTTTTCCTTAGAGGGCCAAATATTAAATATTGTAGGATTGTGGGCCATAGGTCTCTGTGGTAAATACTGAACTCTGCCTGTTGTAGTTCAAGAGGAACCACAGCCAATTGGTAAGTGACGGGTGTGTGTGTGTATCCCAAGAAAGCTTTATTCACAACAACAGGCTCTGGCCAGTCTATAACTTGCTGGCTCCTGCCCTAGGATCAAGCAGAATTTATATTTATGAGAATTGCAAAGTTGTGTACATGGGGAGAGGTAGCAAGAGTATTTTCTTGCTTTTGTCTTGACTCCCTCATAAGACCATAAAATCATACAAGGCAGAGCCCAGATGTTACACTTCCTTCGAAATTCCCTAGAGTACCTCATTCAGAAACCATCAAAACTCACAATGAATTGAAGATCAACTGGATTGCATAAAATGTTCAGAAATGATAACTGCTGGCTGTTTTAGCTTTAACCCAGAATTTAGTAGTTACAAAGCTAGACCATCTCTACTTTTAAAGGTTAAGTCATATGGATATTTCACAACATGCTCCAGAGTTTAATTATTGGGTATATGACTGGATAGGAAAGTCTCTTTCAATAATAGTAATAGTTCAGGCAAGGCTACAAAAACAATGCCCCTTTGGCTGTATGTCAGCAACTACAGCAATTGTTAAACAGGCTCTGACAGAGACCTACATGAAAGCACATTTTGTCATTTGGAGAAGCTCCGAATAACAGCGACAGAATCCCATAATCCAGGCTGCCTTTAGAAAATCCTGATGAAGTAGTAACTAACTCATATTCAAATGCTGACTGAACGGCAACCGCGTGACAGGCACAAAGTTAAGCAATTTTTCCCTCATTGCCTGGTTTATTTCTCAGACACCCTATGAAGTAGTATTACAGCATTTTATAGGTAAGGAAATTAAGGTTCTGAGAAGATTCTCTGGGGTCATGTGGCTTATCAGTGACAAAATCAGTAATGAGAATCGGGATTCTGAGCTCCAAGTTAAGCATTCTCCTTTCTATCCATCATCCCCACTACCCAGCTGCTGCACTTTTCGGACTCCAGCTCAGTTTGTACACAAGATGCATCCTAGATTTTGACAATGCTCCAGAGATGGGCTGTCCCATCTGCTATGATCCTACACAAGTGTCCCCCTTTCTACACAAACCTGTCCACTTGTAGAAATGAGTACCATTTACATCTTTTTAAGAACATCTCTAAGCGGTTGTCAGATCATGACTCACTTCCTCAGTATAACTGTCCTCAACTTCAAGCCTGTACTCAGCCATCCCACCGCAGGGCGAGTGCAGGGCTGGATCCCCTCACCTCTGTCACTGTCCTAGATGGGCAAAGCTTGTGGCAGAACCTGGAGACACATCCCGCTCAAGCTCCAGGGAGAGGACAGAGAGGCCTCTGCCAGGAACAGCGGGGCTGGCCTGGCCAGTCAGGACAATCCAGGATGGGATGGATGGAGAGGCACGGAGAATCCTGTCCAGAGAGTAAGCCGTCTTCTGTTTTCTTTGGAGTCAGGCAGGCAGACAAAACAAATAATGACAGGACGTTTGGGGTGGAGGTTGGTCTGGCCTGACTTCTGATGGAAATCTCTGAAACTCTGTTTTACAGCCAACTTGGGGTGAACATATCCACATAACAAAGGATAATTTGTGTGAGTACCAGGCACACCTGTACATGGGTCTTTAAGTTATATATTTTTAGAGTTAGAAGGGCTCAGCTCGTCTTCACTTTACAGATAACCCCACTAGCTTTCAGTTTCTTTAAGTGACTCACCCAAGGTCATACTACCAGTTAGTATTAGACATTTCTGAGCTCTAACACCCACAAGTTTGAAAAATAATCCAAGTCACAAGACTAAAACAAAACTATGGAAGTAGATGGGAGTGTATACTGTTTGCAGTTTTTTTTTTTTCCGATGGAACATTCACACAATATGGCAACTGAACAGAGGGGTCAGGCCAGCAGCCTAAATCTATTCCTGATTTACCATTGGCTTTTGAAGAAATCATGCTGACGCTAGGAACATACCTTGAATGATATGTCTTATTGGCCAAGTGGAACATCTACTAAACACCAATTCAACTTAGCTTGCTAAATAGGAATAAACTGATAGCAATATTTTGAATTTGAATAACTTAGAGCACAGAAGTCAGAAGACAATAGCTCAAGTCCCCAGTCTGCCATTTGCTAGCTATGTGACCTTAGGACAAATTTGAGCCTTAATAGCCACATTTGTAAAACAGGAAAAACATCATCACACCTATCTTAAAGGGTGTTCTGCGATATTAAAACAAGATCAGATGTGTCCTAGCAATGGAAGTACTATGCAAAAATTAGGTAACTCTTTTTTCTTTAGTTTCTTGTAAACTAGAATGTCAATTTTAAACAGCTTTATTGAGATCATTTACATACCATAAAATCACCCTTTTCAAGTATACAGGTTTTTAGTAACAATTAGGTTATTTTTCTCCACTTTTCCTCTTATCCATCTGGGAAGCATTAATTCATCCTCCAAAGGTCAGCTCAAAAATGGCCTCCCCATAACATTTTGTCCTCATTTTTATTAGAGCACACTTTGCATGGTAATTTTCAAAATATATTCACCCTTCCTCCTATCAACTGTAAGACAGGGATAGAAACTACTAACATTTACATAGCACTTTACAGTTTGTAGACTGCTATCTATATAGGTTGTTTTGATCTACTTTTGTATCCTACACTGTGTCCATAGCAGCCACTTTATATTTATGAAATTAATGAATGACAATAATTTGAGTTCTTCTATGGCCTTAAGCGGCAGTAATAAGGTAAAGAACAAATTTTAAAGCTTCCCTCTCAAATTCCCCAACAGCACACTTGCATCAGAGAGGTTTTTTTATTTTTTTTATTTTTTTTAAGTTTTCTTGCCAAAGCAAATATTCCAAAGACAAAGAGGAATAATCCAAGCAAGGAAAAACTTGTTGGGCCACAGCTGGTCACTGATTATCACCTAGAAACTGCAAATCCAATTCTGATCTCCACTAGCCTCTGAACCCCTCCCCCATCTTACCTGAACCTGTGAAAGCCCAATGATTTGGTCATTCAAAAGAGTCAAATAGGGCCGGCTGAGTAAGAACTGGCTTGGGACGCCAGAGAGCCCCGGTTCGGATCCCACA